ATTATATGTGATAAAATACAACAGCTAAAAAGTACAGCAGCTAAAAAATCTGAGTGCTATTCCAAAAAAAAAAAAAATGTATCCAAAAGTTTTGAAATGCACCTTTATGGTTACTGAGCCTGCATGTACAGTTACAACAATATTATGTGTGTGTTCTCATCCTGGCAGGACTCTCTATTTCAAGAAAAACTAATTGGAAGAGTTGTTTTTATTATTTTGTTTTGCTTTTTAAATATTGAAAGGGTGTTTAAAGTCTATCCAGAGTGCCATGAAAAACAATCTGGTGCAATGGCTGTTTGGCAACCCAGGTACAGGATGTTACAACACATTTCCCAAATATTTTGCTGATGGTAATCTTCCTGGCAACATAATGACAATGAGTTTATCTCATGCAAAATGTGCAAACATGGAGGTTGTAAATGACCTGTGAGGTGGAGCAAGGGATAGAGATTAACCGAAGATACTCTCAGTAAACTGTCTTGTATTTGTTAGTTTTTGGTGGACACAACATCTTTGTTTGTATGTGGTGCTGAGGATCAAACCGGGCCGCATGCATGCCAGGCGAGCGTGCTACCGCTTGAACCACATCCCCAGCCCCCAAGTACAACATTTTTTATACCTTTATTTTATTTATTCATTTTTATGTGGTGTCGAGGATGGAACCCAGTGCCTTGCACATGCTAGGCAAGCACTTCACCACTAAGCCACAACCTCAGCCTGCAAGAAATCAATTTTAATTATGATAGTATTAAGAAGAATACAATACTCAGGAATAAGTTGAACTAAAATGAGGCAAGACTTGTACACTAAAACTACAAAGTTTATCAAAAGAAATTAAAGGCAATGTAAGTGAATGGAAATTTACCTCTTGTTCACGTATTGGAACAGGAGATAAATTTGGAAGACTTAGTATTGATAAGATGGCACTATTCCCCAATTGATATACATGGTCAATGCTCCCACTATTAAAGTTCCAACCTGGGACTGGGGTTGTGGTTCAGTGGTAGAGTGCTTGCCTAGTATTGTGAGGCACTGGGTTCAATTCTCAGCAACACATATAAATAAATAAATAAAGTTAAGTTCCATCAACAACTTAAAAAAAATGTTTTTTAATTAAAAAAAAATCAACAAGATGACTCAGTGTCTAGTAGAGCACTTGCTAGCATGTGCAAGGACCCAGATTGAATCCCCAGTACCACAGGGAAAAAAAATCCCAACTGACTTTTGTAGAAATTGACAAGATTATTCTAAAATTCACATGAAATAGCAGTAAAATAATTTTAATTATAGTAAAATAATTTTGAAAAGTATGAACAAATTTGTAAGACACACTTCCCAACTTAAAAACTTAACTACACAGTTACAATAATCAAAACAGTATGGAATGTATAAAATGCATAAAATAAACACAGAACCATGGAATTAAATTGAGAATCAAGAAATGAACAGAACTGCATGGCCACATGAAAAAAAGTGGGTTCTTACATCATAATATATACAAAAACTAACTCAAAAGAGCTCAAAGATCTAAAAGTAAGAACTAAAACTATAAAACCTTCGAAGAAAACATTGGGATTGATGTCCTTGGATTTGACAATGGATGCTTAGACTCTAAAAGCACAAGATACAAAAGAAAAAGCAGATAATTGAACTTTATCAAAATTTAAAACGTTTTTTACATCAAAGGACTCTTTCAAGAAAGTGAAACAAAACCACAGAATGAGTCAAAATGTTTGCAAATCATATTTCTGAAAAGAGTTAGTATCCAGAATATGTAAAGACCTTTTGCACCATGACAACAAAAAGACAAATAACCCAATGAAAAAACAGGCAAAAGATTTGAACAGACATTTCTCCGAAGAAGATATGTAAATGCCCACAAAGACATGAAAAGATGTTCAATATCATTAGTCATTAGGGAAATGCTAACCAAGTTCACAATGAAGCCAGGTATGGTGGCACCTGCCTGTAATCCCAGGTACTGGGGAAACTGAGGCAGAAGATCATGAGTTCAAGATAGCCTGGGCAAGACAGCAAGACACCATCTCAAACACACACACACACACACACACACACACACACAGAGAGAGAGAGAGAGAGAGAGAGAGAGAGAGAGAGATACCACTTAACACCTACTATGGTGGCCATATATAAAACAACAACTCAAAATAAAAAAATAACACTAATTGGTGAAAAACTAAAAAAATTGGACCCCTCATATATTGCTGGTGAAAATGTAAAATGGTTCAAACACTGTAGAAAACATTTTGGCAGTTCCTCTAGAAGTTAAACACAGACTATCATATAGCCCATCAATTCTACTCCTTGATGTGTACTCAAAAGAATTGAGAACAGATATTCAAATAAAACAGCAATGTTCGCGACAGTCCTATTCATAATAGCCAACAAATGAAAACAACCCAATGTCCATCAACTGATGAATAAACAAAATGTGATAAGTCCATAAAATGATATATTATTTGGCAGTGACGAGGAATTAAATACTTACAGGTGCTTCAACATGGATGAACCTTGAAAACTTCATGCTTAGTGAAACAAACTGGATACTAATGTTCACATATAGTATGATTCCATTTATATGAAATATCCAGTAGAGGCAAAACCACATGGACAGAAGATAGATCAGTGCCAGGTGCTGTAGGGAATGGGGAATGAAGTCACTTTCTGGTTAAAGGCCTTTTTTGTTTGGTTGTTGTTTTGCGTTTTTTTTTTTAATTTATTAATTAATTTTTGTAGATATAGATGGACAATGTGCCTTTATTTTATTTGTTCATTTTTATATTATGCAAGGATGGATCCCAGTGCCTCACACGTACTAGGCAAATGCTCTACCACTGAGCTACAGCTACAGCCCCCCTTGTTTTGTTTTTGTTTTGTACTAACAATTAAATCCAGTGCCTCCCATATGGTAGGCAAGTGCACTATCATTGAACTACATTCCAGCCCTTATATGCACAAGACTCTATTTTATTATGAGACAGAGTCTCACTAAATTGCCCAGACTGGTGTTGAACTTGTGATCCTCCTGCCTCAGCCTCCCAAGTAGCTGGAATTACAACATCCAGTTGGTTAAAAGTTTCTCTTTCTTGGGCTGAGATTGTGGCTCAGTGAAGGAGCACTCACTTAGCATGTGCAAGGCCCTGAGTTCGATCCTCAGCATCATACAAAAATAAATAAAATAAGGGTATTTGTTTCCAACTACAACCAAAAAATAAATATTAAAAAAAAAAGTTTCTCTTCCTTTCTTTTTCTACCACTGAGCCATATCCCCAACGCTATTTTGTATTTTATTTAGAGACAGAGTCTCACTGAGTTGCTTACCATCTCACTTTTGCTGAGGCTGGCTTTGAACTCTCCATCCTCTTGCCTCAGCCTCTGGAGCTGCTGGGATTACAGGCATGTGCCACTGTGGCTGGCAAAGTCTTCTTTATGGGGGATGAAAATATTCTGGGAAGAGAGTGGTGACGGTTGCAAAACATTGTGAATGTAATGCAAGCCCCTGAATTGTACACTTTAAAGTCGCTTAAATGATGATTTAAAAA